ATTAACTCAAGTGCCCGAGCGAATATTGGTTTAAAAGGGCATGGACAGGTGTTCTTCAGAAATCGAGATATTTCACAGACGCATCAACAGTAGTTCAGATTGATTTTAAATTGTTGGGAGAACATTGTTCAATATTGAGTGTCAAAAGTAATCCGGGACTTTTTCGGTATGGCCTAGTTCTCTGACTGGTCAAGAAACCTCGTGCAATCTTTTCCGATGAAAAACCGAAAAAAATTTTACCCTGGACACACTGAGAACACCCATTGATTCTTAAAGAAATTTACCTTTGATTTGATTGGCTATAGAGTTAACCGTGGTTTTGGTTTTATAACACTCAATTGTTAGCTCCGCTGTGTACTGTAGTTTCACGTAGACAGTGGGACGATCCAAGCAACAATCGGGAAACCGAAAGTCGTCCGAGCAGAAACCGAACGTCGATGCGAACATCTGGGTGATGGTGACAAACATGGTCGTAACATATAACACAGGTGAAATAATTTCACCTGATTTACTTGTTATAATTGATGTGCGAATGATTGTATTAGCGAAGCTCGTCAGAGAAATATTGTTCTGTAAAAAATCAATACTGTAAATAAATTTATTCCAAATAGCCTAGTTCATCGCGTTTTTTTTCCTCCTTTTTCTTTTTTTTAATCTCAATTAAATGACATCATTGTACCATAATATTCTACCAGTACTGCATGTCTGATTTTCTGAACGATTGGTAATCCATCAGCTGGATCAGGTGACTTATCAGACAAGAGACCTACTATGATCAGCAATTTTGAAATCATTCCGCGCGTGGAGAGATTGTCAACTTTCAACTCCAAAAGTATCTGACAGCCACCCTCCACCCTCAACTTAGCCCTCCCCCTCCTTCCGCGATAAACAATGACCGGCACCTAATTTTATTTAATTTTTTTTTTTTTTTTTTATTTTTCAATAAGCAATGAAATTCTTACCTTTTCTATTTATATCGTTTCTGACCATAAGAGATATCTTAGCGTCATTCGTTGAGATACCAGTTGTTATCTTGCACAATTCTTCGCTGTAGCACTTGAAGCTATAACATTTGGCATTATCCATATATGCCAGTTGACAACGTTTACTGGCGCAACATAACGACATGCATTCCTCCATGTCTTTGACGGCACTGAGAAACGTGAAATTCCCAGCATGCAGCTGACCTTCCAGGGTAGCATTTTGTACCACGTCGATATGCAGAAGCTGGGCTTTTCTACATACGGGGTTTTGATTTATGGGGAGACGAGGACCAGAACGTGCAGCTTATATGAATAGAAAGTAAACCAGTTTTAATTGAATCGTGTAATTTTTTTCTCATGAAGAGAACCAACCACTTGCATCATGTTAGCTTATGTTGTAGATATTTTAAATTTGTATTAATTTCTTGGTTGTGGAAGATTTAGAGCAAGGTATCTGATAACGTTTTTGATATGGAAAATGAGGTGCAGTTACATTTAAAAAGTTACAGCACCAAGAGCGAAAGAAATGCGACAGCCTCTGTGATGCTGTTTTTTTCTTATTTTCTCTTTGTCGTGTTAACAAATTGCTTTTCACAGTCAAAGATTGCTCGGCCACAAAGTTGACCAAAGGCTCTGGAAGAAGCAGACTAGATAATGTTTGGCACTAATCTGCTAATCGGTTATGGTGTCGTGAATTAAATATTTAAAAAAAAAACTATTAAGATACAATCTGGTTTCTTGAACTTGAGTCCGAGTTCATTTTGAACGTTAGTTTCTTTTCAATGAAGCGAACTCCGCGCAGCCAATGCTAAAAAAACCGTTTTTTTCTTCGGGAGACCCTTTAAAGGCCTTTTTTAAAAAAATTATTGGCATCCGGAGTTAGGCCTGGTCACTCTTCATTCACATATCAGGGTCTTTGCCCCCTCAGCCCAATTTCCGCGCGGCCAGGGCCAAAAAAACGCATTTTCTCCGGGAGGAGACCCTTTAAACGATGTTTTTACTAAAATTTGTCAGCACCAGGAGTTAGGCCTGGTCACTTTTGATTGAGATTTGAGGTTGTTTGCCCCCTCGGCCCAATTTCCGCGTGCCGAGGGCCCTAAAATCGTTTTTTCCCTGGGAGGAGACCCTTTAAAGGACGTTTTACAAAAATTTGTTGGCACCGACGACCCTCCCCCCCACCCCTCCCCGTACCACAATCGCCTCGGTATTTCGATAGGTTTCCTCGGGTATTTAGTTATGTAAGTTGTTTATTACACAATGTCACCGATAAATACTAATCTAATGAGGAGAACAATTTAGCAGCAGTTCGCGTGCAAAGATGCGTTCCTCATTTACACTCCCAACTAATTTACTTTCTTGGCCCTCGATATTCCAAAATTGACTATTTTACTAATGCCGCTTTAATTATCCTCTTGAATTACCGTTTGTCCTTTTCAAAATATTTAATCGATCATATTCAAAGCGTTTTTTTTATTAATTTGATCTATTCTACGCCCCAGTTGACATGAATTTTCTACGCATCTTAGCTTTAATTATCGTTTGCTCACACTTGTTTGAATTGAAATATTCCATGTTTCCTCTTTTTCAACATTCTCATTTTTTTGGCAGATTTTGCGTATCGTGGAAGGGAAAAAAAAGCAGCTTCTTCATAGGTGTTTGGCCGAAATAGTCAATTCTAGATGTTTTTAGCCTAGTGTTCTTTCGTTTGTTCCGGTAAATAATTATCTACCAAACTGAAATAAATCACACACGTATGTTTCTTCTGAGAGAAAAAGTCATCTCAACAGATGTTCCAATAGCAGACAGTTAAGCAAATAAAGATTGCTGCGTTGATGAGAATATAATCAAAAATTACTCGAAGCTTTCGCGGGATTATCCCTAATCAGTCACCATAGATACATACAAGCATTCTTATGGAACTAAAAGATGGACAAACCATCAACAAAATCTGATGTTAAACTCTGTAGAAAACTCGCTGTGAAAAGCATATATTTTCCTTCTGTGGTTTCATGATTAGTCATTTCTAGACATTTTGATTCTAGCGTTTTCTGTATATTCGGTGAATAACTGCATTCATGCATACATTTTTCTTTTATTTGAATAGAGGTTCGGATGTGAAGAGAATTTCAATTACAAAGAGCCTCATTTTGTGTTCGACTCGCATTCAAAACAACATGCTATCAAGAGAGTGCCTCGAGTTTTTTTTTTTTTTTTTTTTTTTTTTGACCGTAAATGATCCCAACAGAGGACCGCAAATGATCCCGTTTAAGAAAAGAGTGGACTGGCTAAGATATACATTCAAACAGCTCATTTTTAATACAGCTTACGTTGAATGCTAAATTAAAGAATAAAGAACCAGAAAAAAAAGAGTAATATTTTACTGAAATTAAACATGCATGTTATGATATCGTAGCACTTTGGAGGAGACTAGTAAACGTGGGTAAGGAAAGGATTAACTAAAAACCGAAACCTGCATAGGTGACTCAAGATTGCCGCATTTTAGAGAATCTTTAAGAGGCTTGCTCTGATATCTTCAAGGCTTTTTCACTAATCAATCATCACCCAAAGACACTAGACACTACAAGCGTAAAATTAAACTAGCGCACGCCTTAATTGGTGAAAACGACAGAGAACCCATCGCCAAAATCTGATTTCCGTTGAATTCCGTGCAAACCCTCGCGACATAAAATAATGCGTTTTTTGTTCTTTCGTAAAGTTTGTCAATTGGTAGCTTTAATTACTGTTGAGTTCAACGGGATCATTAGCAGTTTTAAAGTCTTTGTACAGCACGTGTCTTTCGTATGAAAAAAGTCGTCCCCACAGATGGGGCAATACAGGAACCTGCACAGGTAACCCAAGATTGCCGCATTTTAGAGAATCTTTACGAGGCTTGCTCTGATATCTTCAGGGCTTTTTCACAACTCGATCATCACGCAAAGACACTACAAGCGTAAAATTGAACAAGTATACGCCTAAATTAGTGAAAACGGCAGAGAATCTATCGCCAAAATCTAATTTCCGTTGAATTCCGTGCAAACCCTCGCGACATAAAATAATACATGTATTGTTCTTTCTTAAAGTTTGTCAGTTGATAGCTTTAATGAATGATGAGTTTAACGGGATCATTAACGGTTTTGAGATCTTTGCACTACACATACGTATCTTTCGTGTGAAAAAAGTCGTCCCCGCAGATGGGCCGACACAGGCGGTAAAAGAAACCTGTACAGGTGAGCCAAGATTGCCGTATTTAATAGAATCCTTATGACGCTTGATCTAATATCTTCAGGGGTTTGTAACTAATCGATCATCGTGTAAAGACATTGCAAGCGTAAAATTAAAATAGGACGCGCCTAAAATGATGAAAACGACAGAGAACCCATCGCCAAACTCCCATTTCTGTTGAATTCCGTGCAAATCCTCGCGACATAAAATAATGCATGTATTATTCTTTTGTAGTGCGCAAAAATATCTTCCATCTGTTTTGTATCTATAGTGTTTTCTGTATAATGCAATAAGTTCATCACTTTCATCTTATATTTGAAATTAAAATGCGAAAAAACCGGCAGAAAGAGTTATTGGGGTGGACAAGAGAAGCCCAAAAAAAATTTGGTATAAAATAAAACAATAGACAGCGGTGAAGGCGCGCTCTGATTGGCTACTCAAACTCTCAATATCCTTTATTATTCATCACTAGCCACCTCCTTTACAGTAAATAGTTGTTAAGTATCAACGGTAAACTTATCCCTTTTATTCATCACTGAATTTTTTTTATCAGTCCACTATCCGGCTGTTTCTATAAACTGACAGCACCCAACTCAAGAACGATGGTGTTTATTACATGTAATCATGGCACTTCACATATCTATCTTCATGTGGCTTAAGAAACAAGCGTAGGTGACCAAAGGATTGCCGTATTGATGATGATCTTCCCTTGGCTTGCTGTGATTTCTCGGGAACTTATCACTGATCGATCATCGAAGATCTGATAAGCGTAAAAGTCACCAAACAAGCCTCAAAATGGAACCAGACATTGTAGAAACAGCAAAAAACAATTTCTCCACTGATAGGTCAGTGTTCTTTTGCTCGCAATATGAATTTTTTACTTGGGACTTAGAAAATACTACCTTCCCTTGGATCATTGTGGGAAGCATAATACTTCTCTCTCCCGTTACAATTCTTATGAATCTGTTAGTAATCGTAACGGTTGCAAAACGGAGAGACCTGCAAAAATTGTCCAATATTCTGCTCAGGAGCCTCGCCCTTGTAGATCTTCTCGTTGGCGCTGTATCGATGCCGTTATCTGCGACGGTGGACGTGCTAATTCTCCGCCAGATGCCCGTCGAATATATTTGTGATTTAGACTTGGCTAATATCACTGTTCTTTATTTCCTTTCCATATTGTCTCTGTATCATTTGACTGTCATTGCATGGGAGAGAAACGTAGCGATACGGAAAGGCCTTCAATATCGGGTACTCGTTTCAAAGAGCCTTCTCGTAAAACTCTCGATATTTGCTTGGCTGGTAGCCGTGTTTTCAGACCTTCCCGCTACTATTCTGACAATAACGGAAGAAGATGTGGAGATCATCGACATGTGGATGACCATCGAATGTACTTTGATGGTAATTTGTGTGATAATCATTGCCTGTTATAACATCTTGGTGTATCTTGGAGTACGAAAGCGTAAGAAAAACCAGATTGTACCACTCACAGCAAACCAGAAAATGGAATCGAAGACGGCCAAGACATGTGGACTGCTCACGCTTGTTATCTTTTCATCCTTTCTTCCAAAACTGTTGATCTCCATTTTTTCAGAAATATTCCCGGCCCCACTACAGTCGAACTCAGCTTTCCGTCTGACAGAGACGCTAGTGCAATTGAATTCCTTGCTGACTCCCTTAATTTACTGGTATCGAGACCGCCGTTTTAGGAATGCTGTTCTAGAGATACTACGACTCAGGAAACCTCAACCCATCCACCCGCCCGTTGCTGCGAGAATTGCCTGTCGAGGTAACCCAGTTGGAACGGTAGCTGAGCGGCATGATTGAAGAACCTTCTACTCACTTGAATTAGACAGTGGTCATCTCTTTATCGTTGAGGCTTCTTCTCGTGAAGAAAAACCGTCCGGCCAATCTGAAATTACGCAGATCAAAATTTGTGTATGCTATAAATGAAAAAAGTCGACTTTCAGCTGCTTTTCTTTCAAAGTCGGATTTTGAGAAATGATTGGGTCAGATCTCTTTACATAAGAGACTTTTTATTCCACTATCGGTTTCAGTAGAGTTCGTAGCTCAGTTGGTAGTCGCGTCTAACTGGTATCTGAGAGGCATGGGTTCGAACTCTGTCGAATCACAATTCTTTTCAAGCCTCAATACCTACAACTTTCTCCATTTCAGTTCATCTGTCAGAATCGTTCGTTATTTATTAGTTACAAAGTTAATAATGAGCGCAACAAGATATGTTTACTGTTTTGGTCAGTAATCATAATTCAATGTAGTTGAAAAAGACATTCATTTCACTGCGCGTCAATGTTGAACAAAAACTCTAAGGCAATAGTTCACGAATCAAATAATGCGATGCGATTTACTTTGTTTTGTAAAAAAAGGCTGACGTGGAGGCACATGCTAAACAAATCTACAAGAAGTTTGCACTTTCAAAAATTTCTCATAATTCAAAATTGTAGACGAAAGAATTCCTTTACGACAAATGAAATCTCAACAGCTGTTCAACTCTAGTGCCAAAATTTTCGCTTCTCCTTGTAAATGAGGGCCATAAACTGTGTATATATACATGACCCTATGAAACAAAACTGGTTCGCAATAACTTTTATTTTGAGCCGATTCTTTTAGGTCTTTTCATGGGCTGGCAAGTAAGAAAAAATATTTCTTTCAGTCTTATGAACATGAGAAATTCAAAGTTTTGTGGATTCACAACAACTATGGACAAATGTCATTATGTAACGCGCAAAGCATTACATAACAACATTGATTCAAGCCGGCTCTCACAGGAATGTGTTGCGGCGAAGTACCCCAGTAATGTAGGTAGAATTGAATTTAACCGAACTTTAATGCCACAATTTAGTTAATTCATTTCAGTGCGCGTCAACAAGAGGCTTGCACTTTCAAAAATTATTCATAAATCAAAATTGTAGACGAAAGAATTCCTTGACGAAAAAGGAAATCTTAGCAGCTGTTCAACTCTAGTGACAAAATTTTCGCTTCTCCTTGTAAATGAGCACGATGACTGTGTATATATATAACATTATGTAACAAAACTGGCTCGCAACAACTTTACTTCGAGCCAATTCTTTTAAATTTCTTTCAGTTTTATGAACGTGAGAAATTGAAAGTTTTGTGGATTCACAAAAACTATGGAAAAAAGCCATTATGTAATGCCCAAAGTATTACATAACAACATTGATTCAAGCCGGCTTTCACAGGAAAATTGTGCGGCAGAGTACCACAGTTATGTAAGCAAAATTGAATTTTACCAAACTTTAATGCCACAATTTAGTTGAATGACAGGCACCGCAAAAGTAACATTGGGGCGAGATTCTAAGCTTAGGGAACAAAATTATATTGGTTTACTGGGAAAAATGTTTCACTTTAGTTAGACGTTACATGTACCGCGTGTGAAACTCATAAAATGGCTCAAAATGCGATGCAAACTAAATTGCATTTAAAAGATTTAGCTGAAAAGAAGAAACTATTAGGATTCTCATCCTGGAAGATGCCGTCATCGAGGCTAACTGTAGCCAAAAATGTTTCCCTTTTTCATATATCAGTCAAAGGAACACATTGAAAGGTAAATTAATTTTTTTTCGCTGTTGACGGACTGTAAACTGTTTGGCCAATAACTATTCTATGCGTTTTTCCCAATCTAGATTTGCCAAATTTCTTATATCAAGCCAAAATATTGTTGATTGTATATACCTACATGGAATATCAGTATGTAAGGAAGATAAATTGGAAGTAAAGTAATTAAGACTTTGTAGAAGACATGATTTATTGAGTAAATTGACTGCAATTACTGTTATTGGAGCAGTTTAAAATTCAGTGTTAAAAAACCGAAACCAAAGAAATTCAATGGCCAATCAGAACGTGCGAAGTTTTACATTATCATTAGTCAATAATCATGAGAGCTGAGAGTGAAAAGAATCAAACCGCTTGAAGCACGAGAAAAAATTGTTGCGATTGTTTTAGTTTTGCATCTTATTAGTTGAGAAAGTTGCACTATTTTTTTTTTTTGAGCCAATCACATAACGAAAGTAAAGCAAAGCCAAAATACTTTTGGAGTTCTCTCGATACTCAATTGGAAATTGCTTTACTTCTGTCTTAGTTTAATTGAATTAACTCAAGTGCCCGAGCGAATATTGGTTTAAAAGGGCATGGACAGGTGTTCTTCGGAAATCGAGATATTTCACAGACGCATCAACAGTAGTTCATATTGATTTTAAATTGTTGAGAGAACATTGTTCAATATTGAGTGTCAAAAGTAATCCGTGACTTTTTCGGTATGGCCTAGTTCTCTGACTGGTCCAGAAACCTCGTACAATCCTGTCCGTTGCAAAACCGAAAAAAATTTGCCCTCGACACGCTGAGGCGATTTCCCGCGCTTATGGCAATTTTCATGTTTTTTACATTGAACACCCATTGATTCTTAAAGAAATTTACCTTTGATTTGATTGGCTATAGAGTTAACCGTGGTTTTGGTTTTATAACACTCAATTGTTAGCTCCGCTGTGTACTGTAGTTTCACGTAGACAGTGGGACGATCCAAGCAACAATATGGAAACCGAAAGTCGTCCGAGCAGAAACCGAACGTCGACGCGAACATCTGGGTGATTTACTTGTTATAATTGATGTGCGAATGATTGTATTAGCGAAGCGTAATTTGAGACAGTCATTTGTTGAACAGTTCGTCAGAGAAATATTGTTCTGTAAAAATTAATCCTATAAATAAATTTAATCCAAATAGCCTCGTTTATCGTGTTTTTTTCTCCTTTATCTTTTTTTTAATCTTAATTAAATGACATCATTGCACCACTATATTCTACCAGTACTGCATGTCTAATTTTCTGAACGATTGGTAATCCATCAGCTGGATCAGGTGACTTATCAGACAAGAAAACCACTAGGATCAGCAATTTTGAAAACATTCCGCGCGTGGAGAGATTGTCAACTTTTAACTCCAAAAGTATCTGACAACCACCCTCCACCCTTAACCCAGCCCTCCCCCTCCTTCCGCGATAAACAATGACCGGTACCTAATTTTATTTAATTTTTTTATTTTTATTTTACTTTTCAATAACTAATGAAATTCTTACCTTTTATATTTATATCGTTTCTGACCATAAGAGATATCTTAGCTTCATTCGTTAAGATACCAGTTGTTATCTTAATCGCTGTAGCACTTGACGCCATTACACTTGGCATTATCCATATATGCCAGTTGACAACGTTTACTGGCGCAACATAACGACATGCATTCCTGCATGTCTATGACTGCACCGAGAAACGTGAAATTCCCAGCGTGCAGCTGACCTTCCAGGAAAGCATTTTGTTAGGCTTTTCTACATACGGGGTTTTTATTTATGGGTAGAGGAGGACCAAAACGTGCAGCTTATATGAGGAAAAAAATGAACCAGTTTTACTTGAATCATGTAACTTTTTCTCATGAAGAGAACCAACCACTTGCATCATGTTAGCTCATGTTGTAGATATTTTAAATTCCTATTAGTTTCTTGGTTGTACAAGATTTAGAGCAAGGTATCTGTTGACGTTTTTGATTTGGAAAATGAAGTGTAGTAACATTTAAAAAGTTACAGCACCAAGAGCGAAAGAAATGCATGTTAACAAATAGCATTGGCATGACAAGTAAGGTCTGGTCACCTTTCATTGACATATCAGGGTCTTTGCCTCCCCTGCACAATTTCCGCGCGGCCAAGACCCAAAAACCGTTTTTTCACCGATAGAAGACCCCTTAAACGACGTTTCTAGAAAAAAATTTCTGCACCAGGAGTTGCATATTGTCATCGTTGATTAATATTTTAGGATCTAGTCCCCCTGGCTTAGTTTTTTCCACGAGAGGGGCACCCCTTAAGCGACGTTTTCAAAATAATTCATTGGCAGCAGAAGCTAGCCCTGGTAAGAGTCCATTGACGTGTCAGGTCTTCGCCCCCTCGGCCCAATTTCCGCGCGGCCAAGGCCAAAAAACTTTTTTTTTTCCCCCGGGAGGAGACTTTTTCAAGGACGTTTTCAAAAAAAATTTATTGGCATCAGGACCTGGTTACTCTTCACTGGGCCAAGGCCCAAAAACCGTTTTTTTCTCCGGAGGAGACGTTTTTACAAAAATTTGTTGGCACGGACGATACAATGTCACCGATAAATACTAATCTAATGAAGAGAACAGTTTAGCAGCAACTCGTGTGCAAAGATGTGTTCCTCATTTATACTCCCAACTTATACTTTCTTCTTGGCTCTTCCATATTCTAAAATTTATCATTTTACTAATGCCGCTTTAATTATCCTCTTCAAATTACCGTTTTGTCCTTTTCAAAATATTTTAATCGATCATAGTCGGTGTTTTCTTATCAATTTAATCTATTCTACGCCCCAGTTGGCTTGAATTTACTACGCCACTTAGCTTTAATTATCGTTTGCCCACATTTATTTGAATTGCAATATTCCGTGTTTACTCTTTTTCAACATTCTCATGTTTTGATGTTTTGGCAGATTTTGCGTACCTTCAAAGAGGAAAAAAAGCAGCTTCTTCATTGGTGTTTGGCCGAAATAGTCAATTCCAAGAGCTTTTAGCCTAGTGTTCTTTCGTTTGTTCCGGTTAATAATTATCTACCAAACTGAAATAGATCACACGCGTATGTTTCTTCTGAGAGAAAAAGTCATCTCAACAGATGTTCCAATAACAGGCGGTTTAGCAAATAAAGATTGCTGCGTTGATAAGAATAAAACCAAAAATTACCCGAAGCTTTGTCTGGGTTATCCCTAATCAGTCACCATAGATACATACAAGCATTCTTGTGGAACTAAAAGATGGACAAACTATCAACAAAATCTGATGTTAAACTCTGTGGAAAACTCGCTATAAAAAGCATATATTTTTCTTTTGTGGTTTCATGATTAGTCATTTCTAGACATTTTGATTCGAGCGTTTTCTGTGTGTTCGGTGAATAATTGCATTCATGCACACATTTTTTTTTAATTTGAATAAAGGTTCGGATGTGAAAAGCATTTAAATTACAAAGAACCTCATTTTGTGTTCGACTCGCATTCAAAACAGCATGCTATTAAGAGAGTGCTTGGAGTTCATGTTTTTTTTTTTTACCTGACCGTTAATCCCAGCAGAAGACCGCAAATGATCCCGTTTAAAAAAGGAGAGGAATGGCATTCAAACGGCTCATTTTTAAAAAGGCTTACGCTGAATGCTAAATTAAAGAATAAAGAACCAGAAAAAAAGGAAGAGTAAAAAATTTTACTAAAATTAAACGTGTATGTTGTGACATAGTGGCACTTTGGATAAAACTAGTAAACTTACGTAAGGAAAGGATTAACTGAAAGCCGAAACCTGTACAGGTGACTCAAGATTGCCGCATTTAATAGGATCTTTACGAGGCTTACTCTGATATCTTCAAGGCTTTTTCACTAATCGATCATCACGCAAACACACCACAAGCGTAAAATTAAACTAGCGTGCGCCTTAATCGGTGAAAACGACAGAGAACCTATCGCCAAAATCTGATTTCCGCTGAATTCCGTGCAAACCCTCGCGACATAAAATAATGCATTTTTTGTTCTTTCATAAAGTTTTTCAATTTATAGCTCTAATGAGTGTTGAGTTTAACGGGATCATTAGTGGTTTTAAAATCTTTGTACTGCACATACGTACCTTTCGTGTAAAAAAAGTCGTCCCCACAGATGGGCCAGTACAGGAACCTGCACAGGTAACCCAAGATTACCGCATTTTAGAGAATCTTTACGAGGCTTGCTCTGATATCTTCAGGGCTTTTTCACTACTCGATCATGACGCAAAGACACTACAAGCGTAAAATTATTCAAGCGTTCGCCTAAATTAATGAAAGCGACAGAGAACTCATTGCCAAAATCTAATATTCTTAGAATTCCGTACAAACCCTCGCGATATAAAATAATACAGGTATTGTTCTTTCGTAAAGTTTGTCAGTTGATAGCTTTAACGAGTGTTGAGCTTGACGGGATCATTAGTGGTTTTTCGTGTGAAAAAAGTCGTCCCCACAGACAGGCCAACACAGGCGGTTAAGGAAACCTGCACAGGTAACCCAAATTGCCGTATTTAAGAGAATCTTTACGAAGCTAACTCTAATATCTTTAGGGTTTTTTTAACTAATCAATCATCACGCAAAGACACTATAAGCGTAAAATTAAACTAGCACGAGCCTTAATTGGCGAAAACGACAGAGAACCCATCGCTAAAATCTAATTTCAGTATTCCGGGCAAACCCTCGCGACATAAATAATGCTTGCATTGTTCTCTCGTAAAGTTTGTCAATTGAAAGCTTTAATGAGTGTTGAGTTTAACGGGATCATTAGCGGTTTTAAAATCTTTGTACTGCATATACGTATCTTTCGTTTGAAAAATGTCGTACAGGTAACCCAAGGTTGCCGCATTTTAGAGAATCTTTACGAGGCTTGCTCTGATACCTTCATGGCTTTTTCACTAATCGATCATCACGCAAAGACACTACTAGCGTAAAATCAAACCAGCGTGCGCCTTAATTATTGAAAACGACAGAGAACCCATCGCCAAAATCTAATTTCCGTTGACATAAAACATTTCTCGCGACATAAAATGATACATGTATTGTTCTTTCGTAAAGTTTGTCGGTTGATAGCTTTAATGAATGTTTAGTTTAACGGGATCATTGGCGGTTTTGAAATCTTTGCACTGCACATACTTATCTTTCGTGGGAAAAAAGTCGCCCCCACAGAATGGCCAACACAGGCGGTTAAAGAAACCTGTACAAGTGACCCAAGATTGCCGTATTTAATAGAATCCTTACGAGGCTTGCTCTAATATCTTCAGGGGCTTGTAACTAATCGATCATCATGTAAAGACCCTACAAGTGTGAAATCAAACTACCACGCGCCTAAATTGGTGAAAACGATAGAGAACCCATCGCCAAAATCCCATTTCTGTTGAATTCCGTGCAAATCCTCGCGATGTAAAATAATGCATGTATTGTTCTTTTGTAGTGCGCAAAAATATCTTCCATCTGTTTTGTATCTATAGTGTTTTCTGTATAATGCAATAAGTTCATCAATTTCATCTTATATTTGAGATTAAAATGCGAAAAAAACTGGCAGAAAGAGTTATTGGGGCGGCGAAGGGAAGCCAAAAAAAATTAGGTATATAATAAAACAGTGGACAGCGGTGAAGGCGCGCTCTGATTGGCTACTCAAACTCTCAATATCCTTTATTATTCATCAATAGCCACCTCCTTTACAGTAAATAGTTATTAAGTATCAACGGTAGTTTTTCAGAAACTTACCCCTTTTATTCATCACTGTATTTTTTTTGTTAGTCCACTATCCGGCTGTTTCTATTGATTGACAGCACCCAACTCAAGAACGATGGTGTTTATTACTTGTAATCATGGCACTCATATATTTATCTTCCGTGTGAGAAATATTATTCTACACAGATGGGGCGATAACAAGCGGCCTAAGAAACAAGCGTAGGTGACCAAAAGATTGCCGTATTTATGACGATCTTCCCTTGGCTTGCTGTGATTTCTCGGAAGCTTCTCACTGATCGATCATCGAAGACCTGATAAGCGTAAAAGTCACCAAACAAGCCTCAAAATGGAACCAGACACTGGAGAAACAGCAAACAACAATTTCTCCACTGATAGGTCAGTGTTCTTTTGCTCGCAATATGAATTTTTTACTTGGGACTTAGAAAATACTACCTTCCCTTGGATCATTGTGGGAAGCATAATACTTCTCTCTCCCGTTACAATTCTTATGAATCTGTTAGTAATCGTAACGATTGCAAAACGGAGAGACCTGCAAAAATTGTCAAATATTCTGCTCAGGAGCCTCGCCCTTGTAGATCTTCTCGTTGGCGCTGTATCGATGCCGTTATCTGCGACGGTGGACGTGCTAATTCTCCGCCAGATGCCCGTCGAATATATTTGTGATTTAGACTTGGCTAATATCACTGTTCTTTATTTCCTTTCCGTGTTGTCTCTGTATCATTTGACTGCCATTGCATGGGAGAGAAACGTAGCGATACGGAAAGGCCTTCAATATCGGGTACTCGTTTCAAAGAACCTTCTCGTAAAACTCTCGATATTTGCTTGGCTGGTAGCCGCGTTTACAGACCTTCCCGCTACTATTCTGACAGTAACGGAGGTAGGTACGGAGATCACCGACATGTGGATGACCATCGAATGTACTTTGATGGTAATTTGTGTGATGATCATTGCCTGCTATAACATCTTGGTGTATCTTGGAGTACGAAAGCGTAAGAAAAACCAGATTGTACCACTCACTGCAAACCAGAAAATGGAATCGAAGACGGCCAAGATATGTGGACTGCTCACGCTTGTTATCTTTTCATCCTTCCTTCCAAAACTGTTGATCTCCATTTTTTCAGAAATATTCCCGGCCCCACTACAGTCGAACTCAGCTTTCCGTCTGACAGAAACGCTAGTGCAATTGAATTCCTTGCTGACTCCCTTAATTTACTGGTATCGAGACCGCCGTTTTAGGAATGCTGTTCTAGAGATACTACGACTCAGGAAACCTCAACCCATCCACCCGTCCGTTGCTGCGAGAATTGCCTGTCGAGGTAGCCCAGTTGGAACGGTAGCTGAGCGGCATGATTGAAGAACCTTCTACTCACTTGAATTAGACAGTGGTCATCTCTTTATCGTTGAGGCTTCTTCTTCTCGTGAAGAAAAACCGTCCGGCCAATCTGAAATTACGCAGATCAAAATTTGTGTATGCTATAAATGAAAAAAGTCGACTTTCAGCTGCTTTTCTCTCAAAGTCGGATTTTGAGAAATGAATGGGTCAGATCTCTTTACATAAGAGACTTTTTATTCCACCATCGGTTTCAGTAGAGTTCGTAGCTCAGTTGGTAGTCGCGTCTAACTGGTATCTGAGAGGCATGGGTTCGAACTCTGTCGAATCACATTCTTTTCAAGCCTCAATACCTACAACTTTCTCCATTTCAGTTCATCTGTCAGAATCGTTCGTTATTTATTCGTTACAAAATTAATAATAAGCGCGACAAGATATTTATTGTCGCATTTCTTTCTCTGCGTATTACGTGTTTACTGTTTTGGTCAGTAATCATAATTCAATGTAGTTGAAAAAGACATTCGTGTCAGTGCGCGTCAATGTTGAACAAAAACTCCAAGGCAAAAGTTCACGAATCAAATAATGCGATGCGATTTACTTTGTTTTGTAAAAAAAGGTTGACGTGGAGGCACATGCTAAACAAATCTACAAGAAGTTTGCACTTTCAAAAATTTCTCATAATTCAAAATTGTAGACGAAAGAATTCCTTTACGACAAATGAAATCTCAACAGCTGTTCAACTCTAGTGCCAAATTTTCGCTTCTCTCTGTAAATGAGCGCCATGAACTTTGTATATATATGACCCTATGAAACAGAACTGGCTCGCAACAACTTTTATTTTGAGCCGATTCTTTTAGGTCTTTTCATGGGCTAGCAAGTAAGAAAAAAAATTACTTTCAGTCTTATGAGCATGAGAAATTCAAAGTTTTGTGGATTCACAACAACTATGGACAAATGTCATTATGTAATGCGCAAAGTATTACATAACAACATTGATTCAAGCCGGCTCTCACAGGAATGTGTTGCGGCGAAGTACCCCAGTAATGTAGGTAGAATTGAATTTAACCAAACTTTAACGCCACAAGTTCTTTAATTCATTTCAGTGCGCGTCAACAAGAGGCTTGCACTTTCAAAAATTATTCATAAATCAAAATTGTAGACGAAAGAATTCCTTGACGAAAAAGGAAATCTTAACAGCTGTTCAACTCTAGTGCCAAAATTTTCGCTTCTCCTTGTAAATGAGCACGATGACTGTGTATATATATAACATTATGTAACAAAACTGGCTTGCAACAACTTTATTTCGAGCCAATTCTTTTTATTTTCTTTCAGTTTTATGAGCGTGAGAAATTGAAAGTTTTGTAGATTCACAAAAACTATGGAAAAAAGCCATTATGTAATGCACAAAGTATTACATAACAACATTGATTCAAGCCGGCTTTCACAGGAAAATTGTGCGGCAGAGTACCATAGTTATGTAAGTAGAATTGAATTTTACCGAACTTAAATGCCACAATTTAGTTGAATGACAGGCACCGCAAAAGTAACATTGGGGCGAGATTCTAAGCTTAGGGAACAAAATTATATTGGTTTACTGGGAAAAATGTTTGACTTTAGTTAGACGTTACATGTACCGCGTGTGAAACTCATAAAATGGCTCAAAATGCGATGCAAACTAAATTGCATTTAAAATAAGTAGCTTATGATTCTAAAGCCGTGATTTAGCTGAAAAGAAGAAACTATTAGGATTCTCACTCTGGAAGATGCCGTCATCGAGGCTAACTGTAGCCAAAAATGTTTCCCTTTTTTCATATATCAGTCAAAGGAACACATTGAAAGGTAAATTAATTTTTTTTCGCTGTTGACAGACTGTAAACTGTTTGGCCAGTAACTATTCTATGCGTTTTTCCCAATCTAAGTTTGCCAAATTTCTTATATCAAGCCAAAATATTGTTGATTGTATATACCTACATGGAATATCAGTATGTAAGGAAGATAAATAGGAAGTAAAGTAATTAAGACTTTGTAGAAGACATGATTTATTGAGTAAATTGACTGCAATTACTGTTATTGGAGCAGTTTAAAATTCAGTGTTAAAAAACCGAAACCAAAGAAATTCAATGGCCAATCAGAACGTGCGAAGTTTTACATTATCATTAGCCAATAATCATGAGAGCTGAGAGTGAAAAGAATCAAACCGCTTGAAGCACGAGAAAAAATTGTTGCGATTGTTTTAGTTTTGCATCTGATTAGTTGAGAAAGTTGCACTATTTTTTTTTTGAGCCAATCACATAACGAAAGTAAAGCAAAGCCAAAATACTTTTGGAGTTCTCTCGATACTCAATTGGAAATTGCTTTACTTCTGTCTTAGTTTAATTGAATTAACTCAAGTGCCCGAGCGAATATTGGTTTAAAAGGGCATGGACAGGTGTTCTTCAGAAATCGAGATATTTCACAGACGCATCAACAGTAGTTCAGATTGATTTTAAATTGTTGGGAGAACATTGTTCAATATTGAGTGTCAAAAGTAATCCGGGACTTTTTCGGTATGGCCTAGTTCTCTGACTGGTCCAAAAACCTCGTACAATCCTGTCCGTTGCAAAACCGAAAAAAATTTGCCCTCGACACGCCGGGGCCAATTCCCGCGCTTATGGCAATTTTCATGTTTTTTACATTGAACACCCATTGATTCTTAAAGAAATCTAACTTTGATTTGATTGGCTATAGAGTTAACCGTGGTTTTGGTTTTATAACACTCAATTGTTAGCTCCGCTGTGTACTGTAGTTTCACGTAGACAGTGGGACGATCCAAGCAACAATCGGGAAACCGAAAGTCGTACGAGCAGAAACCGAACGTCGATGCGAACATCTGGGTGATGGTGACAAACATGGTCGTAACATATAACACAGGTGAAATAATTTCACCTGATTTACTTGTTATAATTGATGTGCGAATGATTGTATTAGCGAAGCGTAATTTGAGACAGTCATTTGTTGAACAGTTCGTCAGAGAAATATTGTTCTGTAAAAATTAATCCTATAAATAAATTTAATCCAAATAGCCTCGTTTATCGTGTTTTTTTTCTCCTTTATCTTTTTTTTAATCTTAATTAAATGACATCATTGCACCACTATATTCTACCAGTACTGCATGTCTAATTTTCTGAACGATTGGTAATCCATCAGCTGGATCAGGTGACTTATCAGAAAAGAAAACCACTAGGATCAGCAATTTTGAAAACATTCCGCGCGTGGAGAGATTGTCAACTTTCAACTCCAAAAGTATCTGACAGCCACCCTCCACCCTTAACCCAGCCCTCCCCCTCGTTCCGCGATAAACAATGACCGGTACCTAATTTTATTTTATTTTTTTTATTTCTATTTCGCTTTTTCAATAACCGATGAAATTCTTACCTTTTATATTTATATCGTTTCTGACCATAAGAGATATCTTAGCTTCATTCGTTAAGACACCAGTTGTTATCTTAATTCTTCGCTGTAGCACTTGACGCCATAACACTTGGCATTATCCATATATGCCAGTTGACAATGTTTACTGGCGCAACATAGCGACATGCATTCCTGCATGTCTATGACTGCACCGAGAAACGTGAAATTCCCAGCGTGCAGCTGACCTTCCAGGAAAGCATTTTGTTAGGCTTTTCTACATACGGGGGTTTGATTTATGGGGAGAGGAGGACCAGAACGTGCAGCTTATATGAAGAGAAAAATGAACCAGTTTTAATTGAATCATGTAACTTTTTCTCATGAAGAGAACCAACCACTTGCATCATGTTAGCTTATGTTGTAGATATTTTAAATTCGTATTAATTCCTTGGTTGTACAAGATTTAGAGCAAGGTATCTGTTGACGTTTTTGATTTGGAAAATGAAGTGTAGTAACATTTAAAAAGTTACAGCACCAAGAGCGAAAGAAATGCATGTTAACAAATAGCATTGGCATGACAAGTAAGGTCTGGTCACCTTTCATTGACATATCAGGGTCTTTGCCTCCCCTGCACAATTTCCGCGCGGCCAAGACCCAAAAACCGTTTTTTCACCGATAGAAGACCCCTTAAACGACGTTTCTAGAAAAAAATTTCTGCACCAGCAGTTGCATATTGTCATCGTTGATTAATATTTTAGGATCTAGTCCCCCCTGGCTTAGTTTTTTCCACGAGGGGGGCACCCCTTAAGCGACGTTTTCAAAATAATTCATTGGCAGCAGAAGCTAGCCCTGGTAAGAGTCCATTAACGTGCCAGGTCTTCGCCCCCTCGGCCCAATTTCCGCCCGGCCAAGGCCAAAAAACGTTTTTTTTTCCCCGGAAGGAGAATTTTTCAAGGACGTTTGCAAAAAAAATTTATTGGCATCAGGACCTGGTTACTCTTCATTAGGCCAAGGCCCAAAAACCGTTTTTTTCCCCGGAGGAGACGTTTTTACAAAAATTTGTTGGCACGGACGATAACCCCCCCCCTTCCTCCCCCGCACCACAAGCGCCTCAGCATTTCGGTTGGTTTCGCAGGTGTCTAGTTATACAAGTTGTTTATTACACAATGTCACCGATAAATACTAATCTAATGAAGAGAACAGTTTAGCAGCAACTCGTGTGCAAAGATGTGTTCCTCATTTACACTCCCAACTTATACTTTCTTCTTGGCTCTTTACTAATGCCGCTTTAATTATCCTCTTGAAATTACCGTTTTGTCCTTTTCAAAATATTTTAATCGATCATAGTCGGTGTTTTCTTATCAATTTAATCTATTCTACGCCCCAGTTGGCTTGAATTTACTACGCCACTTAGCTTTAATTATCGTTTGCCCACATTTATTTGAATTGCAATATTTCGTGTTTACTCTTTTTCAACATTCTCGTGTTTTGATGTTTTGGCAGATTTTGCGTACCTTCAAAGAGGAAAAAAAGCAGCTTCTTCATTGGCGTTTGGCCGAAATAGTCAATTCCAAGTGCTTTTAGCCTAGTGTTCTTTCGTTTGTTCCGGTTAATAATTATCTACCAAACTGAAATAG